TATATATATCAATTAATTAAATAATAAACGAATTAAATGTTAAAATTAATTTTCGAGATTTGTCAACATACAAAGAGACATCTTTAAATCTCATCTTGTTAAAAAGATATTAGTGTTAATAATTATAATTGTTCCGCAATATCGTCGTAGAAAAATATTGCATAATATAATGAACGCGCGTACTCGTTCCACCGGTTCATCCGTTCATGAATGTGAAATCGTATGAGATAACTTTAAAGTGAACTTACAGAGACACGCATAAGAAAACAGAGTGGAGATTAAAAGATATATGAAGTAAGATGAATAAGAAAGAACTTACGTGAAAAAGATGCTTGTTTAACAAGCATCTTATGAAATAGAAGAAGATTACGATAATAAATAGAAATTTTATATTTTAATTATAATAAAAAGAAAAAAGAAAAAAAAGGAAAGAGAAGAGAGATTATGAAAATATAATTTAAATAAAGATAGGAATCATTTTAAGGAACGAATATTGACGAGAATATTGAGGAGAATATAAACAAGATCTAACGAAATAAATGAGATGATTGCAAGGAAAAAAGAAATCATGGAAGATAAGATAAAATGTTTAATATTCAATTAAGCTAGATGGAAATTTTGAACGATTGAAAATATCAGATTTTAACAAGATTAACATGAATTATTAAGTTTCGTACAATTTTTAGATAATAAATAAATAAATAAATATATAAGATATGAAATGTAAATGTATACACGAACAACACGTTGATTAGAATGAATAATAATAAGATGAGATCGAAATCATTTTTGTAGGAAAAAAAAAATTGAAGAACTTACCAGCATAGGTGCTCTTGAAGCTTTCGTGAAGTTTGAAGGTGAAGGGAATGTGAACCTTCATCATTTCCATTTGTGGAATACGTGGTGAATGTGCCATGACGCTGCCACTGCTGCCAAACATAAGCTCGTCCCCATGAACTCGTAGTACTATCATGTTCCTGCACCAACGAATTGTACTTATTTCAAACGACATTAATCATATCAAATTTTAATATTTATTTGTTTATAACAAAGCTAACTAGATTATCTTCATCTCGAAATTACATGAAATATCTTTTTTTTCTCTCTCTTATTTTTTAATTTATTTGTGATAATTAAAATAATATCTGTAATTTGATATTGAAAATTTAAGCCCAAAAATGGTAAAAATTTAAGCACTTAAATGGACAAAAAATTGTTAGAATCGATAGATTTTATAGATATATGTCATATATTTAATATAGTATTTAATTCAACTTAAAATTAATTGAAATATTATTTAATTAGTCACTCGTGTCGTGTGCCCACATAAATATTTTACTGCATCTAAAAAAAAAAAAAAAAAAAAAAAAAAAAAAAAAAAAAAAAAATAAACAAGTCGAAGATAATCCCGCTAACCTTTTATTATCATCGAGACGTATAAGTATATATAATTAAAATTCACCTTAAAAAAATTTTAATATGTTAATTTATTCAGCGGAGTGTCATTTATTGCAAGCAGATAATAAACGTCATATAAGCAAGTACATTTGTTAACATTTTTATCAAATACTATATCAAAACACTTCGTCTTTTTTTTTTTATGTTTTTGTTTTATTTTACAATTATGACGTGCTAATGGCTTTTATTATAACAAGTTTTTTTTTTAATAATTAAAATATTAAGATAAAATTATCATTAACGGTTGCTACTTTAAAACAACATAGTCATTTTATTTAAATATATGTCTGCATTTTAAATGTGTAGAAACATTTACTATTCGTTAATAAATATTAACGTATTCTAATGTACTATGTAATTTAGCAAGCTAAAATAATAACAAAACATTTTTACAATCACATATATATATATATATGTACCTGATATAATATTATATTCGAATTGTAACTATTTATGTATTATAAGTATTGTAACATGATTTCCATTGAAACTGTTCGAAGTATCCCACCTTCAACTTGAATGCAGACTTTAAAAACGATTTATCGTTGATCTTCTAACTCGTTCAAAAAATACCGGGTGTTGTTTGAATTTGTCGACAAGACGAAATAAAAAATAAACTTGAAAATAGTTGAAAGAAGCTATTAAAAATGAAATAACACGAATTACATGGTAGAAAAGAAACGGTTACAATTTGGAAACGAGGTCATATCGAGCATATAATTATATCAACGTTTCTTTTTTGTCTTATTATAGCATACTTGAAACTACCCTTTAAGTTATGCCAAGATATTTTGTAAACGTCCTGTATATTGATATATATATATATATATATTTATTTAATCCAATAAATTTGTATTAAAAAAAAAACACAATGATCGACCTTTGCACTTTTATTAAATCTTTCTCTTTCATTTGTTTTTTTTTTTTTGTAACTATTAACTTTAATTTTATTTAATCGCCATCTTTTTGACATATTCAATTGCCTTTTTTTTATTTCCCCACTAAACATCAATCAAATGCTCACAATCAGTTTCCTTTTCCTTGATCTAACAGAGAACATTTTGAATGAACATTCGAGGATGGAGTTACGTAAAGCTGCTGTTAAACTATGTACGCTTAGCAACGCCAATGACCCAAAGTAATTCTCGTTTCTGTGACGTCGTGACTTTTTTAGAAAGTAGTTGAAGCACGAGTATATGTACAACGAGAGGTAAGCTTCTAGGATTTACAAAGGATATTCCTTTTTCTTATCTTTGATGATCCCGATCAAATTATCGATTCAATTACGTGCAACACGTTTCGTGATTTTCTCTAATTCAAATTCTTGCGTTTTGTTACATTTATTTTTTATACTTTTTCTTTTTTTATGTATCTTTATTTAATTAGAAAAATTTATAGGATCGTTAGTATGTTCTCTATGTGCATAATTAATTTTTGCACAATCGTTTAAATTCTATTGTATATGAATAGTTTTTTATTTTTCTTCCTAATTTATTATTAATTAATTTTATTATACATTTCATATTCGTCATACAATTTATATTATTCGGTATAATGATTTATATTATGCCTATATAGTTTTAATATATTATGAAGAAAGAATAGCATAAGTAGGTTCATAACAGTTATGAAATTTGAAAGACCATAATTTCCTTTTCTTTTTGTAATAATTACAATAGGAGAAATTTATAGCAATTTACATTTCCCTTGACATGCTTCATGATATTTGTGAAAGCAACAAAATCGAGTTCCACGAAAGAGCAAAAATAAAGAAAAAAAAAAAAAAAAAAAAAAAAAAAAAAAAAAAAAAAAAAAA